TTCTTCAATTTAGCCTTTTTTATGTCTCGAGCTTGTTTTGATATTGACACTAACCTCTTTCTGCCTTTCGAAGAAACTGCATTACTAATTCTCTTTCTCTTTTCCAATCCATCTTCTGTAATCACTTGATCAACAAAATTGATGATGTTATTTGTTGATTGGACAACATTTTTCACCATTCGGTGGAACTCAGAGACAAAATTATCATACAATTTCTTCTCCTTACTTATTGTTCCAGTTGTACTTACCATCATCAAACACAAATTTTTGTATCTTACATTATAATCCTCTCCCTCACTTTGATGATCAGAAATTGACAAATCTAAACAAACATCTATCTTTGCATCTTTAGTCCATCTTTTCCAGATGTAATAGTTTGGGATAACCACAAAACTTTCCAAACCCATAGCATTATTAACATCCATCACTCTTAATGAATGGCAGCATAAGATTCCTATATTGATGAACATATTGCGGTCACAATGTATTAGTCGTTGACCAAAGTCCACCATGACATTATGCACCTTATCTTCATATTGATCTGAATTTGTTTTCTGGACAACATAGTGCTGAACATAAGTTTGGAAAATTTGTTGCCTGTTGACGGTCACGAGCATAGAAGTCATGCAGAGCTTCTTCATTTCTTCGGCTATCAACCACCCTTTCAAAATGACTGAAAAATTGTAGTAAATTGTGTTCCGGTTGCAAATACTTTTTTACAACCCCATTTACTGATTCACTAAGTTGGGTAGTTCTCATTCCTGCTATGAATTGTTGCATCATCCATGCAGAAGACCATTTATGCCTCAGTGTATGTATTGAAGATATTCATTTATGAGCTCCATTTGGAAAGCATGTTGATAGCATTAAAGATCATTCTAGATCAAACTCTTGCTCATTGTTGACACAATATATTAGCTTGTGGAAAAACCTTGCAAAACTACAACAAAGCAAAAAAATAGTGTTAGTATATAACATAATGTCATATCTACTATGTAATATTATCAGACAACAAACTTGATAACATTGAAATATATATCTAAAACGATCATAAATATTACCTTTCTGTGTATGCTTTACTCAAGTTTTTTTTAGTATTCTCCAATATATGCCAAGTGCAAAGTGCATGATATGTGCATGGCATTGTCTGAGCTATGGCTAAAGATATTGCTCCATCTTGGTCAGTAAAAAGTGTTTTTGGATGCTTGTTCCCCATGCATTTAATAAAGGTATTGAATAACCATTCAAATGATAATTGTATTTCATTCAATAAAAGTGCAGCTCCAAATCTTCAACTTTTGCGATGGTGGTTGAATCCAACAAACACAGCTGAAATGACCAAAGAAAATTAGTATAATTGTTATATAAAATAGTAAAGTGAATGAAAATAAGCACATATTAAAGATATAACCTAACGGCTCGTAACTTTTATTTATCCGATACGTGGTGTCAAATGTAACCGCATCTCTAAATATTGAATAGTTCATTCTCATTTGAGCATCAGACCAAAAAAATATTTGTAATTTTTTCCTCATTGTCCAATGCATATTCATAATATAACTATGGCTTTTGAATAGATTGTTGACTAAAATACTTCAAAATTGCATCAGCCTCACCTATTAATAAAAATTAAAAGCATTAACCAATAAAATAAATATATTACATAAAAAAAAAATAAATAGATTAGTCTTAGCATGCTCTAATGTGCTACTTCTTCTTGTACGTAAATAATTTTTTAAGTCTAATTTAGTGAAGCCCACTAACTTTGATGACCCAGCTGCCCGTTGCATCATTTCATATGAAGCCTTTAATGGTAAACTTACATCCTCATTTATTTGAACTATTAGCTTATGTTATTCCTCAATTTTCCTATTTGACTTCAACAAATGCTTATGTTTAGGAGAGTGCATAGCATGATTATGCTCATCCTCAAAATGTGTGACAACATATGTGCCATCTTCTTTATTATACTTCAATTTTATCTTTGCAAGACATCCAGTTCGAGTAACAGGTATATATCTTTAGCTAGATGTTTTTTTGTTGATGAAAACTTGAATCATGCCTTATTGCAATTGTACTGTATATACATAATTTTATCATCTTCTCCTTTTTTCTGATAGTTTATTCACACCGAAAAGCCTTTCAAATGTGCATAATTAGTGTAGGACATGAAAGCATCATTTGGTGTTTCAAATACTCTCGCTTTAAATCCTGTTTATATTGAAAAGATTAGTAATATTAAAATTGATAATTTTGCTTGCAATAACATTCATATATATATATAAGAATATATATAATCCATGCATACCAAACCAACCAACAAACATTGTATGCCAAATAACAAAATAAAATTTGTAAATAACAAATTTTAAATCTCAAATAACAAATAGAAGCCACAAATATGAACCTTTATATTACATAAGTTTAAGTAATAATAACAAACTTTAAGTAATAATATAAGATAGTTTGAGTATCTGAGTAACAAACTCAAAGCAACAATTAACAAAAATATGTAATATTTAGATAGATAGTACTATCATTGATCTTGAGATGTGTAATTTGTGTTTCATCTATTGATTCAACTGAAACTTCATCCATATGATGCATTGGAAGTCCATCCTTACATTGAAATTCATCCATGTGAATTAATTCTGGCTTTTCCTATCAACACAAGTCACCAACATTGATATTAAAAAAAAAAAAAAAAATTATTAGTGCACAAATATGTAAAATTTAGATAGAAGAACTGTTAGCTATAAATCAACATTCAAATTTCACTTATTTGGGGGCCATGACAGCAGGCAGACAGATCTTCCCTAATAGCCATAACCAATTTCATGAGTTCACCGACAAATCTTCTTTTTTGCCATTCAAATTAAACCTCTCATCACCTCCCAATCCTAAACCCCGAACACACATGTATTCAATTAATCCCTTATCTGCCTTGCCTTGCCTTCCTTTTCCCCAAATTTATGTATATAATTTACCGTAATTTACTTATTTGAGTTGTATAATTCAATCAATATTTCATAGTGAATTGCATTGAACTCGAATACTAGAAGGATTACAAAAATATGTAAAAATAAGTTATATTGCAGCTAACTAGATATTACAACAAATTAGTGAAGTTGAAATGTAATTTGCAATGGAAAAAATTAGGGCAGAAATAGAAACTTTAAGAAATGAAGATGAAATAATACAGGGAAATCTTCGAGTGAAGCTTTTTCGACAAGGCAAAATGCAATCGCAGTTCATCGGCGTCGAAGATCTCTTCTTCTTCTTTAGCGCTTCAGTCTGCGCGTTCTTCTTCTTCAGTGCTTCAGTCTTCGCGTGTGAGTGAGTATTGCTAGTTATGTGAATTGAAAGCGATTAGAAGCTTTTTAGTATAATATATGATTTATTATAAATTACATTATTACCCTTCAATTAAATCTCCACCATTAAATATTAAATACAATTAATGGTAGAGATTAATTTCAACATTGCTGAAATTAGTGAATCAGCACCCGATCCAAGTCGATCCATTATATTCTAATTTAACTTGTCTTTTTAATCAATTCCAACATATATTTATAATTATAAATACCTATATAAATAAAATAAAAAACATAATTTATGATTTTTGGGAAAAAATATTAAAATAAAAAAGTAAATAAATATAAATTAGCGCCTTCAACGAAAGATATATAATGTATTCGATAATTGAAAAAGAAAAATTGCACTGAAATGACAATATATTATGGAACATTCAATAATTTAAACGAAAAGAAGATAGTAATACATATTTAGTATGATAATAATATTTTTTAATATTAGATTTATAATATAAAAATATATATCTTCCAAAAAAATTGATAATAATTCGTTAATATATTTTAGTTTTAAATTATTAATTTTATTAAAAATTATAATAATATTAATAAATATTACCATACTCTCCCGTCTAGCTAGAAAGTATACATATTTCTATTTTGGGACGTCCAATTACAAAGTATCAATTTCATTAAATACTCCATTTTTTTTTCACAAATACCCCTACTTTACATCACATCGTTACTTTTATACCAAAAAGATAAGGTCAAAAATGTCATTTTACTACTTTTACCTACCGCCAAAAGTAATTGTATACTTTTAGCTTGGACGGAGGGAGTATTATTTATCACTTATACAACAACAAGAAAAACAATAATAATAATAATAATAATAATAATAAGAATAATAATTTAAAAATTCATCAAATATTTTCAGAAAAAATTTTATACAATACGATTTTTCACAAATTCCATTAAAATTTATTAAAACTCAGACTTTATGAATGGCTAAATACCTCATTATTTTAAAATATTTTAAAAATTTTGGATCGAATACCTTCAAATTTAATAAGACTTTTAAAAATATACCTCCAAATTTTACAAAATCTGAATTAAATACATTCATATTTACAAGTCCTAACAAAATCCTCAATTCCTCTGTCAAGTACAGATTTGATGAGAAATGGAATATTTGCAATGCATAGCCGTTTATACAATTTTATTAAACTTCTACTATTCATTAAGATTTTTTCCTTTAAAAAACATCAAATCAAAATACTTATTTTAACTTTTTTTTATATTATACTAAAAATTAATTTTACATTCAAAATATTACATCAATACATATTTATTTTACATGATAACAACTATTCAAATTTCAAATTTGTATTATTCAAATTCCAAACCAAAATCAAATCTCCAAACAAAAAAACTCATAATTTATACCTACTAAAAACACAAATACAATTATTTACAATAAATAAATTGTACATAAATTTAACTAATAATAAAAAATAATAATAACATAATTAGAAAAAAAAAAAAAAACACTTAGCAAAATATTGTACCTTGACAATGTACAAATAAATACTTTATATTCTTAATTAAATTCTTAATTTTAATCGAATTAATTGATTATTTTAATTTTAATTTATAATTATTTATAAGGAAAATAACAACACTAACATATCCTAATGAAATATCCCCTCATTTCAGAAGGCAAATACCCCCAGAGAGTCAGTCAAAACGAATATTCCAAAATGGAAGAACACTCCATGCTGAACATCCTCAATTTGCATCCATCTCTACTATTTATTGCTACAACAATAAAAATGTGTATGCAAGTATAATTACCCAAAAAGATCGTCGTCATCGATGAAGAAGATCTTTCTTTCACCGTACGGTAGAGTAAGTGATGAATTCAGTAGAAACGAACTGGAATGGTTGGTGTGGGATGGGATTCCTGCAATAACAACACCATTTGTTATAACCAATTGAATTTAGAGATTGCGAGGAAAATCAAAACAATCGACTCACGGTTGAGGCCCATAAACTTTGATCTGGCGAACATGAGTATCCCTTCCATTTAGATGATTCGAGAGCACTGCGATTTGCAGCATGAAAGTGTTCACGAACGTTTCCCTGAGACACCAAATGATTTCTTTAGTCTGAGCCGCCTCGACAAAATATATTTCAGAAGTTCTATGCCCATGAAAATAAACATCGACAGACTGTTCAAAGGAAGTACACATAAATATTTACATTTTTGCATACATATAATTTCGAGATGAATGATATCCTGTTTTAACACAGCCCTCTTATGGTATTTAACATATTCCAAGTCCATTTTTGTTCATCATAAATGGAAACAAAGGAAGAACACAAGCATATAGAATCCACAATATAAAAAGAACAAAGCCCGGGAGGATCGTGTTACATTGCAAAAAAATAGAATAATTAAGAAACTAAAGAACATTATTCGAAAATATGAAACCTCAAAATGAAAATGGTATATAGTGGCTGCAACAGCTTTTCAATTTTTAGAAATTAGAAAGACCTAATACAAAAAGATCCATCAGATAACTATCACAATGTTGAAAGAATTACATCGAATTTCATCTAAATAGATATTAGCTAGGGATGCGACTGAAGGCCCTATGTTGCAAATTAGAATTATCACATAATACCAATTCTGTAAGCACAATGTACAAGAATTAACCAACCCCTTTAATCCTGCTGTGAATATTAATGCGAATTGCGCAACAGGTAAATGTCTACATATCGTCCGCTTCACTAGAGTTATATTAAAGACATGATATTCACAGTTTCAAATGAAAAAAATCAAATGATAACAATGCGCACCTTGGATCACTACCAGACAATGATATGTGCACCCAGCCGAGTGGCTTTACCAGCTCGACTACCTTTATCTCCTGAAGAATACAACGGTTAGATCAATCCTCTCAATAACATAAATTAGAGATAAAACTGTATGCTCACTAAATTACCTTCAAGTTATGGAAACCATCACCAGCACGAATCGACACCTTGCTAGGCGTGTAGCTCTCATCAAGCTTGAAATCCACATACATAACGACTAATTGCAGTTTAACTTTCTTTTGGAACTGGATATTCACGAGATGAGGCTGTGAACCATCTGACCTAATGAAAAATCACTCGTTAAGGAACACACAAATAATCATCACGATGTCGGATTGTTTATCCAGCATTGAATCAATGAAATGGGAGAAATTAGAAATGTCACTAACTGCCAATAGGTATCGAGATTATCGTCACGAAGGGAAGCGACGCCATTGCCTGGCTTGCAGGAGCTGACACTCCAAACTGCTTTCTTCGCCATCTCCCTTAGATCACCATCCACCACAAGTTGCTGTTCTCCGCCAGTTAGCTTCCCTTCTTCCTCTCCCTTCAATGAATCCGCCATTTACGGAGGTTTACTGAATTACAGAATAAATAACATCAATCAGATTCAGTTAAATACAAATATATGAATATGCTTTGAATGTACTATTTTCTTACTCTTAAAAATTCAAAAAATCTGATTTAGCATCTACAATTTTTTACAAACATATGCAGAATTAAAATGATTAAATCATTAAATTAGTCCCAAGTAGAACACGTTTACAAGAAGTGAAGAACGCCTACCACCGTCACACCGCCGCACCGCTCACCACCTCACCGTCAAATTCTAAGACTATAGATACAATTATTCCAACATTTTCACTCACTACCAAATCGCCTAAATGATAGAAGAAGAGTGAGAAGAAGGAAAGGAGAAACAGACCTCACCCACTGCAATCGGAGGAGAGGAAAGTGAGGACGACGCCGGAAACAAAGATGGAGAAGAAAGAGGGGGAGAATAGAAGAAGAAGAATTGAGGAAGTGGGGTTGGGCGGCCTAGACCTGCTCAATCGGTTTCGAACGTCCGGTTCGACCGTTTCAAATCGAAAGTTTCGTTAAACCGGAATCGTCATCGAACCGAAACCGATTTTCTTACGGTCCGGTTTCGATTTCCCTTTCATCCGAACTGCTTGTTCAAACCGGCGGTTTTCAATTCCAACGGGCGATTTTGTTATTTTTATTAAAAATAAATAAATATTAACATTGTTTTTTTTTTGGAAAAGAGATGCGGACGACTGTCAACGTGAACATTTATTAATATTATTAAAATTTTATAAAATTAAGTAATATCAATAAAAATAAGTATTTTTCCGGCAGGCAACAACAGCTGTAAAGGTTTAATGAATTGATAATTGATTTAGGAACATTCGTTATTAGTATTATTAAATTTTTATAAAATTAAATAATAGGGAAAAAATCAAATCAGGTCTCAATATAACTGAAAATAATCAATTTTGGTCTCATAATAAAAAATTCATCAATTTAAATTCTATTATAAATAATTTTAAATATTAAAAAATCAATGAAAAATGCTTACATGGCAATTGGCTGGGATGCGTGTGCTAAATCAACACGATCGTATACCATTTCCTTCATATTCTGATTGTTACTATTTCTTCCTCCTTTGTATTCTTCTTTACAGACTCCTCCGCCTACCTATCACTATCACTGTCACAAGCTCTTCATCCCCAATCCTAATCCTAACCCTAAATTCTCATTCGTCTTCCATCCTCACCTCTCCTCCAACACAAGATAGGCACCCAAGAACATTAAGCGCTCGAAATTAAAAGGTGGGTGTTTGAGAAGGGAAATATAGACAAGCATATGTGCATTCCTAATTATAAAGATACTTCATTTATATATATATATATATATATAGGTAATTAGGATAAGTATATGGCACTATACAACATCATAGGATCAACGATTGAGACCATGCTTACAAATACTACATTTAAGCGACTTCACAAATCAATACAAAAAATGTACAAATTCCAAATTAAACTACCACAGTTTATCTTTCCAAACCTCACAGACTCATTTACCTCACCACATTCTCATTGTTCGAAAAGGTCTTACTATTCACACAGTCTGACCCAGCATGTATTTTTAAGAACTACCGCTCCTCAAGCAGATGCACACAACACAACAACAGCTCAACTTTTTTAACCACTACCATTTCCTCTGAAAATTTATTAATTACACTAGAGAGAGTTATGCTTTCGCGGGTTGTAGGTATGACTTAAATCTTGGCTCTTCATTACATCTTACAATATGCTAAAGGGCAAACTATGTGTATTGTGCAAACACCAACTGAATAGAGGTTTTAAATAACAAGCGAGCAAACGGCCCACGGTAACACTAAACATTCCACCATATTGGCCGCCTGCAAAAAGGGACAATTGAATATGCCCTTTGGAAGAAACACACAAAACAAAAATGATCACCAACATGGCCAACAAACTCTAGTTCACATGCCCACTTAAGCAATCTCACATTTTACCAAATTTCTCCCCCAGATTTCAGGATACATAGAGATCCTTGCATCTTGCAATGATCCTACCCATTGTTGGTGGCTAACTTTTGCATTCAAATTCAATATCTCGACAATAAATTAATAATATTGCTTAAGCATCCATAAACTCATTGCTTCAAATATGTGAATCGCTATGAAAACCAAAACTACATTTGTTAACTCATAGTTTTTTCGATTAAATATATTTACCGAAAAGAATTCATCAAGCACTAGATAGTTATATAATAATTCATCTATTTGCTCCAACACCTCAAACTAACAAATCTCCCATTCCCAGGCTCTTGTAATTCAGATTGCCCCTTGTTTTAGCAGAAAAATTAGCCCTCCAAAGAGCCAAACTTCCATAATTTTATCCTTCACGAGATTAATCGTACACAAGAACTCAGCACAAAACAGCCATTTCAAGAGGCATTCTAACAACAAACATCATCAGCATATATTTACCACACAAAAACGATAATAAAATTATAAAAAGGAACCAAACAAAAAATCCGAAAACGGCAAAACAATCAAGGGACAAAATTGCTATAACAGCTAGAGTAACAGGATAAAATCAATCCAAATCAGAACCGAAATCCCTAGGGCAAAGAAAGAAAAATCCTAAAAAGGGAAGAAAAAATCCCGTACAAATTCCAGCAAACAAATCAAACAAGGGAATCGACGGATCCAGGGCAGCAACCCCCACCCCGATCCACCCTCGACGCCAAGCAGACGAATAAAAAATTAAAAAACCACGAAATCCGCGAATCGCTTGAACGCAAGCTTTGAAAAGAAATATGGAAATTGGAATGGAAACGGAAATGTGAAGAAAGGGCAAAGAAAAGAAGAAAAAGAGGGAGGGAGCGGAGCAGTAGCTGACCGATGAAATCAGGGCAGGGCAGCGGCGATGGCGATGATCATCGGTGAGTGACTTGGACGCAGAAATTAGAGGGCTGAGCTAGAGGACACCACAACAAGAAAGAAGAAAGAAAGAGGGAAGGAAAAGGACACCAAAATAAGAGAGAAAGAGGAGTGAGAAAGAGAGAGAGAGAGAAATGTGGTCTGCTTTTTTTGTGATGTCTGTACGTTTATTTCTTTTATGCTTTCTCTCTCTCTCTCAGATTATGTTATTATAATAATAATAATATTATTATTATTATTATTACACTGTAATAATATATTAATAATTATTATATATTCCTTTGAATGGTGCAATAATTGGACTGCGTGACAGTAAACCCTCTCCACTCTGAAATTTTATTTCTTTTTTTCTTTTAAGAAATTATTTTACTAATTTTTTTTTTTTTTTATTTTTTATAATCGGTAAAAATAAATACTCGTTGTTTTTTACATCATTCGTTCGTAGTTTTTATTTTTATCCGTTTTGTATAATTTGTTTATTTAAAATAATTATATATTTTAATATTCTCTCCTTCTCAAATAGCTCGCAATATTTTTTTTTATATGTCTCAAACATTCTGCACCATTTTTAAAATAGGAAATAATTAATTATACTTAATTTCTATCACATACTTTATTCCCTCACATCATTTAAATAAAAAAAATAAAATATATATTTTCTCTCCTCCATCGCATCACCTAATTTCTAAATTATCCTACTTAATATTACCCACCTAAAAAATATCGTGCCAAAATCAAATGTTGCACCTTGTTTGGGAATGAGAGAGTAGTATTTTAAATGTTAAATTTTATATTTTTTAAAAATGACATTTTTGCCTTTTTTTTTTTTTTTTTGGTATAAAGACCTATTCAAAATTCATTAAAAAAAATTATTTTTTATCTCTCTTAAATAAACAAATATATTTATATTCATTCAAAACTTCATATTTATGTGCAAATTGATTTTGTTAATAATAAATAAAAAAATTTTATTTATTTATTTATATTATATGAAATTTTGTTCTCTAATATTTATATTATATATTTTATTAAAATAATTAAATACATATTTTTATTTTTTTAATCTTATATGTATTACATAATAAATCAAATATTAATTAAACAAATCACTCTAATCCAACTTTCAACTCAATACTCCAATATGGTAATCAAACACAAAAAAAATGTACATCACAATATTTCATAATATTTTTTTCATTTTAATTTTATTTATTCATAATTTAACCCTTGAAATATTTCAACATATTTTTCCAAAAAAATTAATATACTACACACTTATTATTTTTATATTATCTACACAAATTTTTATACATATACAAAAAAATTTCTTCAAACAAAAACACAAAACAAACACACCCTAAAATTTAGTATAGTTATTTTTATTAGGTTGATTTTTATTAATTTATTTTTTGATATACTTATAATTTTAAATAAATTTATTATAATATATTTATTTTTAATGATATGATATATATATATTAATAATATTAATATTGTCTATTTCATATTTATTTTTTAGAAAAGTAAATATTTTATATATAAATAATAATTATTTAATTATTTTAAAGTTATAAAAATAAATATATAATTTAGTGGAAGAAAATATAGGTTTGTTATCTTAGTGAAATGTAACAAATGATATTTTAATAAGATATTAATGTATACAGTCAAATTAAGAATAATAAAAAAAAAAAAAAATAGAATCTTCATGCTTATATATAAGGTGCTTTAGAAATTAGCTTTTAGAATAAATAAGGTTTTTTAAAAATATTAATTTACTAAATACTTAAAATTGTTATTTGCAATTAAAAGGTATTAATAAATTAGTTTTTAAACACTATTTTAATATTTCTTCTTAAAGTTAAAGTCGATCAATCAACAGTGTAATTTAACCTTGAGGTTAAACGTTTGATCTTAATAGAATACATGAGAATGTGCGTATGGATAAAAAATAAAAAATAATTAAGTAAATCAAATACAAACACAAATTTTAGTTCATTAGATTCACAAATTAATTTGAATTTGTTCACAATTGTTCAATAATATTAGCAAAAAATTAAAATAAATAATAATTTTATATTTAATAAATATATAACATTATACTTAACCAGGACTTGAGGAACTATACATTAGGTACATTTGATTAGTAGTCTATCCAAAACAACTTCAGGATCGTAAACATGCAGCTACTCGACCTCTAGGTTGTCGGGTAAATAAGGCTCGATTGGATGATCGCCCAACACTTGACAAAGTTGAGATACATGAAACACAAGATGGATACGGCTAATAGCCGGCAAATGCGGCTTATATACGACCTTTTCCACGCGGCGAATGACGCGGAATGGTCCATAAAATTTGGGCATGAGCTTGTGATTGATGCCCTAGCGCAAGCTACCCTGGCGAAAGGGTCTGACCTTCAAGAATACCAAATCACCAACCTGGAAAGTGAGCTCACGGTGATGGCGTTGGCTGCTAGGACCATGTGTTGTTGAGCACGTTCTAAGTGGTGTTTCAACCGTCATAGTACTGCCACGCAACCGCCAAGTAACTCTGAATCTGCAGCAACTCGACATTCATCTATACAGTGTGGGGAGCGGTCGGCCATAGACGGTCGAGAAGGGGGTGGTGGCAGCAGCAGTGTGGAAGGAGGTGTTGTACCATAACTCAACCCACGAAAGGCAAGCTGCCCATTTTCAGGGCTATTCCAAGCAAAAACAACGAAGGTATGTCTCCAGTGTGCGGTTCAAGACTTCAGTTTGGCCATCAGTTTCCAAGTGGTATGCTGAGCCGAAAAGTAATTTTGTGCCCTGCAAATGAAACATCTCTTGCCATAAACAACTCATAAAAACTTGGTCACGATCTGTACACGACATTCCATGTAGACGAACTATTTCATTGACAAAGATCTCGGCAATGGACGTGGCGGTGTAATGGCGCCGTAGTGCAATAAAGTGCCTATATTTACTGAAATCGGTCAATGAATACCAAGACACAAGAGAATCCCAACGATTGAGCAAGGCCGGTGATGAAATCCATTGCTAAATCTTCTCAAACTTTCTCTTGGATAGAGAGGGGTTGCAGAAGCCTCCAGGAGAAAGCCTTTTGGCAAGTGAGGCATTGTTCAACATATTCACAAATTCGGCGATACATTCCTGCCCAATACACATAATCTGCCAATCATCGGTAGATGTGGTGTACTCCCGCATGACCACCAAGTGGGGTGTCATGAAATTCCTCAAACAATTTTTCTATCCATGGGGATGTTGCCGACAACACCAGATGCCCCCGATACAATAGAATTCTTTGTCAATATTCATAATAGGAATGCGATATGTTTTATGAGACAAGATCTTGGATAATCGTCTACAATGCCTGGTCATATTTTTCCTCGGCCACGAGCTCGTCTCCAGCTGGCCACTGAAATGAAGAAATCGCAAAAAACTTGGTTTTTTCGGTGGGAACCAGCCTCTGTGCATGATCAGTAGACATCAATGAAAGCTCATGTCGATGGGAGAGGGAATCAGCAGCAACATTGATACGACCTGGTTTATAAACCACATCGAAGGAATACCTGAGAAGTTTGACTATCCAAGACTGCTGAGCATAAGTACCAATCCTCTGAGAGAGCAGATGACGTAAACTATGATAATCCATATGCTGCCCCATTAAGTAATATTGCATCTCCAAAGCTTCCCAATCCATTTGAATTTTTCCTAGTATCTAGAGCCATGCAACACCCAATATTATATCCACCCCACCAAGAGGAAATATGTGACAATCTGTCTGCACTTCTACTCCATCGAATTGTATACGCAATTTCGAGCATGCTCTCGTACTTTCCAAGTTAGGTTTCATCTCCTCAGTAAATTCACCCTCCCTTATCTCACTTAACTCCGCAACCCAGTTGCCTAAATCATCTTTCACCATGACATTAAAATATTTACTTTCGCATTTGTGGAGTAGACTATAAGGTTGTTTGCACTTATAACAAAGGCGTTTCTTTTGACACTCGCGATACTCATCGCGGCTTAATTTTCTTGTGCTTCCCCGCGAGGAAAGGGTTGAAGTGACTGATCGCTACCACCCCCCTGCAATACTGTTGCTAGTCGAATGACGGTTTTCTACCTCTCCAACTGTGTTTGAAGAGATATTGCTTCCAACCCGCCTAACCAGGTTACTTCGTAATGTCAAAGAGGTTTTTTTCACAAGTAAAATTCTATTCCATTTTTCAACTCCCATTCAATGCTTCTACTGACACAGATTATGGGTTTGAGATCCGGGGGCTCCACTACCCTTAGTTTATTTTTGATAATTTGTTTCAAGCTCCCTAAATAACACCCTAAGGCTTGTGCTTCTTTCAATGGTTGAGCCTAAGTAGCAAGTTCAGTGAATAAATTGATATATTCGTCAACAGAACCTATTTGCCTTATTACCATCCTCTCTTATGGATTCCCAATGAATCGATTGTCAAACTTAGTAATCAATGCCTATGAGAATTCGATCCAGGAGGCAGAAACATGCTTCATCATATGCCAATAGGACCAATGGAGCGTCACATCTTCCATCGCCACTCACACAAGAGTCACTTTTATCTCCTTGGGGACTCCGTGTAATACAAAGTGTTGTTCGGCCCTAGCAACCCATCCCAAGGGGTCGTGGCCATCAAAGCTAGGGAGTTGTGCATCCTTAAGCTTGAAATCGGTTTGATGAGAAGTCCAGGTTCCTCCAACATTCTTAAACAAACATTTTGCCCCGCTGATGCCGGCAGCCCTTGTTGACAAATCCGCTACCTCTCCTCCTTCTGCCATATCTCCCTGAGCAGCTATCGAGCCCCTGATAGGTGTGGCAGACGGCCCATGTGGAAACTACCCAACAATCGTATCCCGCATGACTGTTAAAAGTTTTGTCTTTAGAGTATCAACTTGTCTATCCATCTTCGATTCGAGGCGCGACAATCCTATCTGTTGTGCTTCCACGCCTGTTCGAAGTTCCTCCAGGCTTCCTCAAAAGCTTCAATGCGTTGCATATTTATTAGCATCATTCCTCCTCCGCTAAGATCTGGCCGGTTGGATCAATTTGATATTATGAAAACTTAAGAGTACCAAAAGACTAAACTTTATTGATAACTAATGAAGATCTACTATTTTCGAACCATGCCGAAGCCGTGAAATTGAAGAAAATCATAATGACTAATAATTTCTCAAAATAATATTCCCTCTGTCTCAAAATAATAGAGACATTTGGAATGAGTACGAAAATTAAAGAATAATAGTACTATATTAATAGTGGGTGTAAAACTACTTTTAAAAGATCAAAATGTCCATACTTTATATAACTTTGTATGTATGGTTATATATATATATGTAATAAAGATATGCATGTATTAGTAATAAATGAATGTGTAGAAAGAAATCGAGAAGCACGCAAAGTGAGAATGAAGAGAATTGTGTATGGATTCATTTCACTCATTATATAATACACATTTGTATTTTAGTAAAAATGCACAAAACACCCTATATTTTATTTATTACGTGAAACCCCCTGTGTTAATGTAAAGTTTGCACGAAACATCCTTCTTGTCCAAAATTGATATTTGATTCTAAATAAAGACTTAAATTACGCAAGTTTTATAAAAATATAAAATATAAAATATTTTAAATAATTTTTTTTGAATAAAATAAATAAATAAATAAATAATTGATCAATAATTAATTTTATAGTTTTTATAAAAATCAGATAACAATTTGTTTTCAAAAACTATAAAATCAAGATTAATCAATTATTTATTTATTTATTTATTTTATTCAAAAAAATTATTTAAGATATTTTGGATTGTTTATTTGTATTAAACTTGTATAATTTATGTCTTTATTTAGAATCAAATATCAATTTTGGACAATAAGGTTGTTTCGTGCAAATTTTACATTAACACAAGGAGTTTCACGCAATAAATAAAACAATATTTTTACTAAAACACAAAGGGTATTATATAATTTACCCTTTATAGATACATGTAGGTAAAAAATTGTGTGCTTAAACTAGGGGTGTGTTACTCCCTCCGCGAGAGACTTCATCAACTCTTCACGCAACTCCTTCTCGACCTCGTCGATTCTTTTGTTTGAAGATTGTTTTGAGGTTTGAATTTTGAATTGAGATTTGAATAGTAAAATTTTTGAATTTGAATAGTTGTATAATGTGATATAAATAGGTGTTAATGTGATGTTTTGAGTGTAAAATTGATTTTTAGTATAATATAAAAAATGAAAAATAGAGGTTTGATTTGATATTTTTAAAAAAAAAAAATGGAAAAAATAGTGTATTTAAAATCCAATTCTCCACACAAACACACCCTAGGTATACATTTTACAACACAATTTAAATTTAAAAAGCATATAAATTAAAACAAAAACTAAATAAGTTCTCATAAAATATTACTATATTAGTATATAAATTAAATTAAAATTCACAAAAATCAAATTTAATCAAACAAACTAGGAGTGTGTTTGTTCATATTTATTTTTTAAAAAATAAATAAAAAATATTATTATCTCAATTATTTTTTTTAATAAAGATATAATGTATTTTTAAATAAAAAAATTATACTTAAAAATACAATTTAAATCTAAGTTACAATTTAAACCAAAATTAATCACAGTTAGATTTGCCGCCTTAAAAAAATAAATAAATAAACAAGAAGCTGGAGTGCATGTTGCCAGCACAGAAGAAGCCATCCAATGATTTATCGCCACGTAGGAAATAAACGCGTTGGACTCCAATCACGAGCCTCGATGACGAGACTTCGCCACGCCACGCCACGCCACGCCCCCCGTCTATAAATACCCCAAACACCCAAGTCTCTGCCTCATTCGTAATTTGGGGATTATAATAATAATAATAATCGGCGAGAGTAAACAAAGGGATCTCTGTCCAGCTGTCTCGCCGGAGACCCAAATCGACCTTGAATCTTCGGCGATCCTGGTCATCAATTATCCGATCTCATCCTAGCAATGGTAAATTTTGATAGTCTTGTTCTGATTTGTCCTGGATTTGCGTACCTTGCGCTTTTTAAAATTTTGGTGTAATGTGATGGGCGATTGTGTGATTTCTTTTAACCTAGTTTGTTGTCTGTTGATTTCATGTTCTAGCGGTTTCGACGGCGTTTCTGTGTGGATCTTACCTAAGTGTATGTGTTTTGAACTACTTTTTAACGATTCGAGGCTTGATTTGCGAATTAGATTAGATAGTTAAAAAGCGGTGGAACCGACATGTTGATTTGCTTCTAAATGGATCACTATTTGGAATTTGGGAAAGTTATTGCGTAGTTAGACTGACTATACATTAAATTTTAGATTACTGCTGTGGTAGAATGTAGATCTTGTGAGTAGGTGGAGGTGCGGTTCTTCGTTAGGTGAAGAAACTTACAGCTTGTAGGACCTGTAAACTCGAATATTATCATAAACCGTGGGCATAATTGTTCCCTGATCTTGAATTGCATGATTTGCACCTGTTAGATTATGAATATAAAACAAATTAGAACGCCTCGAGCAATAGCCTGTCTCCTAACCCTAATTCAGCAGACGCTAGAGAAGCTTATGTCCTTTGGTGATAGATAAGGCTTTCTTTGGGTGGTTTGATAGGAAGAGAGAGATCCAGTTTGTGGTTTTAGGCAGATAAAATCACGTTCTATTAGAGGTGGTTTAAAACCCTGTTCTTAATTTCGCCCGTTAATTAACCAACATGGCCACTCTTACAGGACTATGTTGTGGGAATACTATAAGAATAAAATAAAAAATAAAAAAATAATAAAAAATTTCACACCTGGTTAAGCAATTAATTGGAATACTGCTTATTCAAAAGGACAGCCTGGTTGAATGCATTTTGACATTATGATTATTATAGGTTTCACTTGCAAATTTTTTGATAAAGCTGTTCGAGTTGCTTTAAATTAAATTTAAGTTGTTTTGAGATATTGATCTGAATTGCTACAATTAATAACATCCTTTGTTAAATGCATTTGATTTTTACAGTTTGTTCTCGTTGTATTATATGATCTCTATCCCCTAATTGTCTCTATAACTTGATAATCTCTCCTTTCAGCATGAGTCTTCTTTAATTTTTTATTCTCACATCATTTCAGACAACTTCAAGGAGACTTGCTGACAGAAAGATAGAGAAGTTTCAGAAGAATATTACCAAGCGTGGCGCTGTTCCTGAAACTAGCACCAAGAAGGGAAGTAACCTTCCAGTTGGCCCAGTCCTAATTGGGTTTTTCATTTTTGTCGTCATCGGATCATGTAAGGATTCACTAATCTCCCCCTTCTTCATTACCAATTAAATCAGTGCCATTTTGTTGACCCAAACCTGACATTATTGGATTTTGGATATCAACCAATGTTTTAGTCCTGACTCAACATATCGAATCTCTGTTCCAGTCTGACCAATTACAATAATATACATGATTAAATTCTTGTTCAGACACTGGACAGCCATTTTAAAAACTCTTCTTTGTTGCTTTTGAATTGAAATGGTGGAACATAGTTATAATGTTATGTAATATAAAAATGTCGAACAATCCTCTTGTGTCGATAATCTTTTGTTGCTAGGTGTAGCTAAGTTTGGAATTATGTACACATGTTCTTGCTGTGCCCTTATCCTCCTCTAATATTGTTTATTTGCACTATTCTTTCAATTAGTTAATACCTTGTGTTTGTTGATGTGCAGCGCTGTTCCAGATAATAAGGACGGCAACAAGCGGAGGGATGGCTTAATAAAAACTATGGTTTGTCCTATATCTTATGTGCTACCTCTCTTTGTTCATTTCAAAAAACACCCAAGATGTGTAGTTGTAGACATGATGCAGAACAATAATTATCTAAATAAAAAAGGCTTCATGCCTTGATCTTCTACCAGCTATATCTAGACTCTTCTGCCCCGCATTCGATTCTCTTTCCCACCCAAGTTTTTTGTTCATCTTTTACGTGCATGCAACATTACAACGAGAATCTCACTGATAAATTGTTTGTGCTAAGATATTTTTAAGTTTCAGGTGAGAATTTTTGTAGAAAATTCGGCATTCCCCTACCCTCGACTCTATGGTAAAATTCGGAATTTGTTTGTTTACTTAGTTCGGATTCCTTGAATTAAATTCTGCTGCTAGGGATTATGATCCAGTCTACTTATCGATATTGTACAAAAATTTCGAGCTCTGCCCGGCCATTGCCTCAAACAAACATTTCATTTTGTGATAGGGAAAATATACCTTCTGTCTCCTTATTTACTTTTTAAGTTAAATAAAAAAAATAGAAATAGAAATAGAAATATTTAACTCTTTTTATCATTTTTGTCTGTTTTATTCAAAAATATTTTTTTTTATTTTAGTAAAAACAATTATATATCAATATCCAAATACTTTTAAATTTTATCTAAATTACAGATATATTATTTACTCTACTATAAAATTTCAAAGGGTCCCTTGGTTCAGGACAGTGGGAGTTTTTTACTTAAAAAATAAAAATAAATTTTTAGAGAGTATTTTGTTTTTAGAGAAAAAAATATAATTTTTTAAAAAAAAAAAAGAAAAAAAGAAATTGGGAGATTTTGGATAAATAAACATTTAGAGAGATTTATTAAGTGCATCTGTGAAGAGGCAGCCAAGTTGTTTGGTATGGTAGGATGTTTAAGGTGGAAACAGTGAGAATGTGTAGCTTCAATCAACTAGTTATTGTCGATGATGAGTTTGTTTATTTTGTATTTGTAGGATAGGAATCCCATTCCCAGCTGTGAATTTAATAAATAAATATATGGGGAAAGAAACACAAAAAGATGCCAAAGGAATTTAGAAAAGGCTATAGTGGAATATGCATGCAGTTGAATGAATTAAACCCGTTCAGATCTGATGTTGACTCAATATTATTTTACCATTTATAAATATACTACAAATTATGCTAATCCATATCATTTTATAACCCATCAAAATATTACTAAGAAAAATACTACTGTAGTACATAACAATTACTCCATTTCAATTCCAAATAATAATAAGAGTATATTAGGTGGGGATTGTGCATGTGACCATCAGGTCATAGGTTCAAACCTCCAACGTCTCAGGTCCTGCCACACATGGTTCGCCTAGTGTGACTTGCCTGTCGAATCTAGTTTGCAAGGTATTAGGTTCGGCCGGCATAGCTAAAGAAAATATAAGTAAAAAGGTTTTTTTTTTTAATGATGTGGAAACCTGCAGCCACTGTTGGAATGAGTATACGAATATAAACAGTAAAAACACCCCTACCTAAATATAGGTATGACTCAATTTTGCATTATTGGTATTTTTTTGCGTGCGTTTGGAAGTTTTTGTTTTATAATTGTTGAATGTAATCATTTATGTAAATCCGAGTGTTTTTATTAAGAATGTAGAAAGTGTATAGTTAAAAGAATTGACATATATATCTATATATATACATAGGCTCTATTTGTGAGGTTTCAACTTTGATATCCACTAAATCAAATTTTTACTTTTTATAAAATGGTAAAATTAACTTTCTAAATATTATATTAAATAATTATTTTAATTCAAAATTTTTATTATTTAAAATCTCAAATCTTTCACAAATAAAACACCTATATAAGTCTTTTCAGTATGTTTCTTCAGAGTTCAGTTTTGATTTTTTTATTTGAGTAATGGTTTAAATATGATATCTGTAAAAATAAATACTCTTACAAGGAATGATTCAGAGTTTAATTTTAATTTTTTTATTTGAATAATAGTTTAAATATGATATATGTAAAAATAAATAATACTACTATATTTTTACAAGGAATTGTAAAAGCTGTATAATAAAAATAATTAAAACATATCTCGTAAAATACTGGTGGTGTGGAGGTTGAACTTGTGCTTAGTTTGCAGATATTAGATTCGGCCATATAATAACTCACTATTTTTTTTTTTTATAAAATATAATATGAAAATACAATTTAAATAAAAATTCAAGTAAATATTCAATTTTAAACAATGATCAAACAAACTCTAATTTGCACTCTAATTTGCTTGTGTTTTTGGTGCATTGATCTCTCATGTTTTTACTATTCATTTAAAAGTAATTTACAAAATATTACATTATACATCCATTCTTCGTACATATATATATATATTTATATATAATATATATATGTAGACATTAATAATTAAATGTCTAAATTAAATTAAATATATGTATTTTGAAAAAAAGAATTTTCAATAAAATAAGTATATGGTATTTAATTATTCACATGTGTTAATTTTTGTACATGGAAGATATCGTACAAATATTACGTATATAAATAGAGTCATAATAAATTTGACAACAAAATAAATTAATCTTGTCAATAAAGGAAGTATATAAATTAATATCTTCCGAAAAATGCAATGATATAAAGATCTTGTTAATAAAGAAAGTATATAAATTAATATTTTCCAAAAAAAAACAATGATATAAATAAATTAATATTTTCCAAAAAAAAACAATGATATAAAGATCTTGGTGAGAAAGAAAAGTGCACAATTAAATCCGTCAAGAATGGAAAACGGCATCCGATGGAAAAGGAAATATTATAAAATACCTTCCTATTGACCAATCAAGACGCGACATGTGGCACTATTCGAAAAGGAAGCCAAGGCTAACCTCCCTTATAAATAGGAGTCTTGGCCAATTCATTACACATTGAAGTTCATTTAAAGACTCGCGTAAGGGTAAATCTCGAGAGACTCTCTGTAATGTTCTTCATTGTTCTTTGTGTTCTTCGAAACGTTTTTCGTCGAAAAGTCACCAATTTGGACAAATGATCCAATATGGGTTGACGAATCGATGAAATTAACGTTCTTCGTCGTATATTCGAGCCGGAGGAATGATCAAACCTCCCAAAGCCATTGAGGAATCCGTCAAAGTTAAGGAAGAGCCTCCAAAGTCGCTCTCAAAGCTTTAAGATGTTCATTGCGTTCTTTATCAAAAATGCAAACTCGGCCCTCTTTGATCCAAAAGTCAAAGGGACACACCGTCAAAAGCGTTATGAAGCACCAAATCTATCCCCTCGAAGATCAAATTCCATCAGATGATTTAAAGGAGACTTCAATCCAAAGTCGACGATCAAAATCGCTGACACAGATACCAAAACCCTCCAAAAGCTGGAAAAGTCAAACCGAAGATCAAAATCTCTTCGGATCAAAGAAGTCATCCAAATCCAAGTTGGAAAAATGAATCGACCCGGGAAGATAATCATAGGATCCGAATAGAGAATAGGACCCGCATATATTTAAATTAAATGTAATTTGTACGATTTTGTATTTATAAAAATATAATACAATATTTTTGTCTACAATATCAAATAATTGTTACCATTCAAAATTTTTAGTGTTAAAAAAGGCTGTCAATTAATATGGTGTTAATTTGACCAAATTAAAAAACTAAATTTGATCAAATTAACAAACTAACATGAAATAATTAGTAAATTATCACACAATGAATAACATATTAACAAACTAACATATTAACTTGAAATAATTAATAAATCGCCACAAGAAAGATAACATATATTTTATTATATAATGTGTTATACATTATATTATTGTTTACTATTATTTTATAAATATTTGCTGATTAGATCAATTTATTGTAGTGTTAAAATCATAATATAGTTTGTTGAAAGTAAAATATATTTTGTTATATGTAACTATATAATATATTATTTAAATATGTGTTATATATTATATCAATATTTATTTTTTTTTTTTATAGATATTTGTTAATTAAATCAAATTAACACGATAATAGAAGCAATTATAAAAATATCAAAACACCAAATTACAAAAGTAAATTCTTTATATTTTTTATTTTTTTAAAAAATTAATTTGATATAATGTTTTTATCAAAAACAATAAAAAATTGCATAATGATAATAATAAAAATATTGTTTAAACATAAGAATGGTCAAATATAAAATTTTATTTTAAAAAAAAACATCACAAACTATGACATAAACACAATGTCATATTTATTATTATTTTTGTATTGTATTTACAGTATACAAGTATAATGAAATATAAATATATATATATATTATCTAAAACATATTTATCTATAACATATTTATGTAATGCCTAATTTTATTCCAAATTTAATTTTCCGTTTAAGCATATATTGCGTTTGTTTTATTTAAACACCATAGTCTATATTAATATTTTTAAAATATATATTTTCTCCGTCCAATAACAAGAAGTAAACATATTGCATTATTATATTTAATATTAAAAATATTTTTATATTTGTATAATTTACTTCATAAATATCATTATATTTTTATTATAAGAGACTAATAAATTATCTTATCATTATCTTTTAATTATACTATATTTTGATATAATAATATTAATATAATAATTAATATTCAAATATCAATACGAAAAAATAACTGTATATTTTCTGTTTGGACGAAGACCGATATATTAATAATAATTGTGAAGATTAAATAGAAAAAAAAAATACTAAATAAATGAGTAGATCCTACAATTAAGATCTAAATTTCCATTTGGAATCTAACAAAAATATTTCAATTTTCACAAATAATGTTTTTAATTATAATTAATATAACTTTGGGTGTCTATACTTATAAATATTATCGCCATATTGGCGGCGATTAGAGAGCTAGCAACGCCATGTTGATTTAATAACAACTTTAGATAAACTGTTTTTGTAGTCCCGTAACTGGACCCTCTTATCATTTTAATCCCGTAAGTGGAGCATGTCGCAAACTAGTCTCATAAGTGAAAAAATTTCGTTGTTTTAGTCCTCCGGCGCCGGAGACGCCCGCGTGACTCGCCGGAAGCCACGTGTCTGCCAGGCGTCCCGCCAGGTCAGCGATACCTGATGGACACGTGGATTATTTTTTTTTTGTTAATTTTTTAATTTTTTTTCAATTGGACCAAATAAAAAAATTAAAAAAGTCAAATAAAATTTAAAATAAATTTAAAAAAATTAAAAAAAATGAAAAAAATAATAAAATCCACGTGTCCGCCAAGTGTCGCTGACCTGACGGACATGTAGCCTCCGGCGAGCCACGCAGGCGTCTCCGGCGCCGGAGGACTAAAACAATGAAAAATCTTTACTTATGAAACTAGTTTGCGACATGTTCCACTTAAGATACTAAAATAATAAAGAGTCCAGTTACGGAACTAAAAATAACAGTTTACCCAAAAATTTTTGGATCACTTATATGGTATATTTAAGGGACACTTTCATATAAATCTATTTGCTCAAGTCAACATTTTAATAACTCTACACTACTAATTTTATTTCAATTAACTTCTTATTCTAAATTATTTATTCCTTCCAACTTTTATGATTATTTAAAAAATATAAATATCCCTATCATGTTAAATTACTTGTATGTCATTAGAATTCAAAATTTAAACAAACATAAAAAATAATAATAAAAAAAATTGATCCACCAATCTCATTGATGATAATCGCACGCGTTAGGTCACCAGTTTGCATAAAATTTTCGCTAGAAATTCGTAGTTCAATTTTTCTCTCATCTTTACACTTGAGATTGTAAATTATTGATAATTTTTATTATATATATATTTGTTGTTTATAAGATTTTTACGATTAATGTGTTTTAATACATTGTTGATACTTCCTCCGTCCCAAAGCAATATGGACACTTGAGATGGACACAAGAATTAAAAAATAATAGTATTATATTAATAGTGGGTGTAAAATTATTTGAAAAAACTAAAATATTCCTATTTTATGTAATTATTATGAAAAAATGAGGATGGTTTTATGAAAATGTGGGAAATTAGTTACCAAAAATAGAAACGGAACTATTGTTTTTTAACGGATGAAGTATTTTTTTACCGTAATATAACAATGTATATAAAAAATGACAACAAGAAGATCATCATAATTCCAATAAAAGAATGAAGAAAATGTGTAACCCAAAACTATTACATTCCACGCCAAAAAGTCCTACTTTCAGCGGAAATAAGGATGTTTCTGCAAAAAACAGTGAATTTTGAAGACAGTTGTACCTACAATAGAATAAAGTTGTACCTACACAAGTTCAAAGTTGTTATACGTAAAAATCATATTGCACTTGGCTCTCACTAGGCTTGTAGTTGTACTAAAAAAAACTTGTACTTCGAAATCAAAGTTGAGATTTTTGGGTTTTTTATAGTATTCAAATGAAAGCGTACGTATACTTTAAGAAAAAAAAACACACATCCTATAAATTACAAGAAAAAATCTCAACAATACAACATCATTTTTCATTCAAGTGTAATTGTATAGGTAAACGTTATAATTATATTTATATATAAAAATATATATATATCTATTCATAACTTTTTTTCTATAAGTTTGTATATATAATTATATATATTAATCTATATGTGTTGTAACTGTCTCGAAAAATTGTACGTGAAAGGTTGTACTTACAATAGAAGATATTTATATCTATACAAACTCAAAGTTGTACATCTATAAGAATCAGTCCTCCCTAGGTATGTATCTATACTTGAAGAAATTTATATTTCAAAATCAAAATCTTTTTTTTTTTTTTTTTTTTTTTTTGTGTGTTTTGCCACCGTATTCAGATACAAATTGTACATATATTTCAATAAGGAACACATATCCCACAAATTATAAGAAAATATTTTGACAAAACGTCATTTTTCATACAATGTATAAATCTATATGTAAATATAAATGTTGTAGTTGTATATATAAATGTATAGATAAATGTTGTTTATAAATATTAGTCAATTATAAATGTATATATATATGTAAAATAAATATTTATTTGTAAAAGTTGTTTATAACTATTGTATATAAAATTATATATTATTGTATACGTAAATATATATATATTGTAACCGCCTCGAAGAAATGTTATACGGAAAATTGTGCCTACTACAATATAAGAAGTTGTACCTAGACAAGCTCAAAACTAGTGGTGGCAATTCGGGCCGATTCAATTTTATTTGTGCCGGCCCGACCCAGCCCAATTTTGAAACGGGCCAGATAGACATGACCCAATTTGAAATTGGGTCTGAGAGTCTTGATGTAAAATCGGGACGAGTCGGACCAGACTTTTTTTTTCCTTTTTTCTATTGTATGTTAAAATATTATATTAAATTTATTTATAATCCCTTCGTTCATCCCAATTAAATGAATTCAAGTTATTTAAAAAAAAATTTGTATAACATATTATCTATATGTTATTGTTGAATAGAATCTCCAATTGAACTAAGAACCTTCAATCTAAAAAAAAAAAAAATGCAACTACTTTTAAATTGGAACCGATGGTACGAAATTAAATTTAAAAATAAGTAATTCATCACCTCAAAAATAAAAACATGTTAAAGATTTATTAACACAATATCAATATTGCATTACAACAAAAAATCAAAATCATTCCATAAATGCCAAAAATTACATGTCAAAGCATTATAAAAGATCAAATACTTAAAATATTATAGCAGTCATGCCGGTCTCACACTGATGTACGTACATTATCAACTTTGTACCTGCAAAAAAGAACTATTAGATATTTAATTTGAAGCATTAAAAATAAAAAATAAAAATTCACTACTTATGTAAAAATAACTTCAACAATTAACAAATTACTGTTAAATAAGAATTAAAAATAATCAATAAAAAATATAGTTTAGGAAGCAGTGAAACTTGTTCAATTCATTCACAATCTCATATATTTGACAATTGATATGTATGTACAATTCAATAAAAAGGACAACAACCATTGTCAAATGAGAATTAAAATTCTTCAATAATCATACTTTATTATGCAATATAATTTGATCATATTCTTTGGGATATGTCATTTGTACCATAGCATAAAACATTATCGGTATAATTTTGAAATTCTCCAATAGCTTCTTCAATATCTAAAACAAATATCAACAGTAAAAAGAAATAACAATAGTAAAAATTATATATATTTTTAATATACCTTTTTTCCGTATATCCAATTTATTAAGCAAAGCAAAACTTCAGCATTCTCACTTTTAATTGCGCTACGGAATCGATCAATAATACGACCACTAAAGTTAAATGATGATTCTGAAGCAACCGTCGATATTGGAATACAAAGAAAATCACGAGTCATAGAAGAAATAACCGGATAAAGAGGACAATGCTTCCACCAATATTGAAGGATGTCCAGTTTCTCGGTCATATTAATTTTTTTTTCTTCTAAATAGACTTTCAACTCCAATTTTTGCATTTCTAAATCAAATTCACGACACTACCAAAAAATCGACTATTTCTAGCGGATTAAAAATTGCTGCAAATGCTTATTTTTTTGTGACAAATAGCTATTTGTGACAAATTTATTGCGGATTTTAGCCGATATGTTTACTGAAGTAACAAAAAGTCTTTGTTGCAACAAATACCGTAACAAAATAATGGTGGTCAAAGCGCGTGAGAGAAGTTTTTGTTACGGTTTCTTGGACGCGACAAAAAATAAAATTTATTTTTGTAACGAAACATAACCGTAACAAATATTACGGTGCAAATATTTTCTGACAGTTGCAATATCTTTTCGTAACGGTTTTGATAATGAAATCATTTGTAACAAATAATATATAGCTTGTCTTTTCAAAGAACCTTTTGTTACAGTCTAAAGATGATGCAATTGTAATAGTGTTTGTAACAATATCAATTTTGTGACAAGTAACATAAAACTTATTTGTTTCATAGTAAATACGAAATTCATCATAAAATTTACAAAATGAGACCGATCCAACCACCTTCTAAAGCATCCCATAAATAGCTACACTAACAATCGTGTCAACTAAGCACGAAAGAACTACATAGAATGCAAACAAGCCAAAACAATGATCAATTTAATAAGCCAAAATACGTAATTATACACAAAATGATGACTCCATTATATCAAACATATAATGCATCAGTCTCATCCAAACATATGCATATATGCGGATGCTTATGCAGTGACAAAGTACCGGGGAGCCATTTAGGTGCGGCAAACCACCTGCATGAATAATTTATATAAGAATTTATTTACGAAATGAATTAGTACAAAAAAAAAAAAAAAAAAAAAAACTTCAAAGATGAATTATGTACATGTTTGGACACCTACTCGATGGGATAACTCGTAGAACCAAATGAAATCCAAGGGTGCACTAAATAGTTGACTAATCATGCATTCATTAATCCTTAACCAAAACATGAATCAATTTGTAAAATTAATTTCTTATATCATATTAAAAAAAAAAAAGTTCAACAAACATCACCAGAGTTCTTGTGATTCCAATAAAATCAGCAATAAAATTCAATCGAAATAATCATCGGTATGATGTTGAACCCCATAAATAATGAAACAAATCTTAATAAGGTTGCGATTCTGTATTTTAACTACATAAATCAGTAGCACCTTCAGTTCTTCATAACATAAATCAACCAACATAATCCTTAAATTTTATAATTCAAAAGTGATTGATAACTCTTGATTTTGTCATATTTTATAGTTTATATTTATTTAATTATTTATTTATTTATGTCGAATTATGGTATTATTTATGTTAATTTACTCTAGTAATTGTATTTATTTCATCTTGTGTGTATAATATTAATTTATTAGTTTTTAGGTGTAATTTATAATTATTTTGGTGTATACTTTAAATTAATTGATGTGTTTCTTAAATTATATTTTTAAACATTATTTATATGCTATTTAAGTATTTAATTTTGGCTAAATTAATTTTATTTATTATTTATTTAAATAAATATTTATAAGGGGTTTCTAATCTATACAGGTAAGATAATGTTTGAAAACTTGTTTGAGAGTTCAAAATTTGCTTTAAAAAGCGAAAATGGCGGGTAGCGTAGACTCCGTGAGCGGCGGCTGCACGGAAATGTGACCAGAGCGAAAATCTCTGCATGAAAGTGAGTGATGGCGGCTATGCGGAAAACAAGCGGCGGCTGCATTAAATCCGTCCAACCTCCCCCAGCTCCTGCATTTATTCCAGTCACCCTGCATATATTCCTGCACTCTCCGAGCTCCCATATTTAATTCATGCATCATCACTTAGCCAATTTTTAGCTATTTTTGTAATATTTATTCTAGAACCTTCTAGAAAATAAATAGTTTTTAGTAAGTTATTGGTAGTTATATTAGTTTAGATGTAGTTAATTACGGTTATTTTTAGAGGTAGTTAGTAGCTATTTTTATAGATAGTTATTTATGGTTATTTTTAGAGGTAGTTAATAGCTATTTTTAGAGGTAGTTAGTAGTTATTTTTAGAAGTAGTTATTTATGGGCGGTTGTAACCGCGAAGCTTCTAGAAGTTTTTCTCCTTATAAATATCCCCTCTAAACACACATATACATACAGAATAATATACATTCCATACACTCTATTTTTTCTCCATTTTTTCCCCATATTTTTATCTAGTTTAATAATACGAGATTTTCGATTTTGTATCGCGAGCAAACTGATTTTCTCCTCATTTTCTTTTAATTTCAGCATATTATTTTAGCTAGTAAAATTCCTATCATATTTTTCCACCTCACCTTCACCCAAAAATTCCATGTTCGATTTGAATTGTTCAAGTTGAATTTCGACAAGGTTGCGGAAGGGCGATAGAAGAATCGACTATTTCAGCCCTTTTTCGTGTCACAAACAGATTTAGGGTAGTTCAACGTAGCTAAGTACGCGGGAGCCTTGTCGACCTGCTTAGTTGTTGTTCCGAATTCGATTCCAATTAAAGAGAGGTATCAGAGGGGTAGAGCCACTAACGGAACGGTTGGAAGAATAATTCATGGGGTATAGGCGGTGGTCTATTGGGTCACAAAAATTTCTAGTGACAGTAGAGTTTCTTGCTTATAATGTTCTTCGTCGGGTGTCGCTGAAGCCTCATTGTAAATCCCCTAAGGTCGAGTACCAACCGAGTCGAGAATTGGCTTAAGCGAGCAAATGCGATCACGTTCATTCCTCCGAGCCCCCCTAAAATTATACATATATTTTTGCTATCACACCATTGTCATCCCGCTCATTTCATCCATGAAAATCTAGCCATTAAGGAACGCAAAAGTCAGACACAAACGCCTCGCTTCATCCTTTTCGAGATACATATATTTTATTGTTTTTTAGTTAGATTTAATTTGTGCAATTTATCTTTTCAGTTTCTTCGATTGTATTAACTCATTGCACTTTTTCTAATTAAATATAGGATATTCGCATATTCCCTGAGTTCGACCCGGACACTCACCGGTTAAAGAGATTTTTTATTTTTGACGAAGTTTTTGGAGTTACTACACGAACACACACGAAACTATTTTCATTTTATACATATATCATTTTTTTTTGTATCTTAAAAGATATTTTTAAATCTCTCCAAAAATCTTCGATCAAATTTTTATGTCAGAACATGTCCTATACATGTAGCAACCTAGACACGAGCAAAAAAACCTTAAGAATATAGCATATTTACTATATAGTTAGGGCCAACATTGTCTGCGACACAATATTATTATAAAAACTAGAAAAAACTTGAAGAAAAAAGTAGATACTTATATATAAAAAATAGTTTTCTTAACTTGAAAGTCTTCACAGAAATGTTGCAACATTGTTACACCAGGTATACCCAATAGGCAAACATCATTTTTTAAGGAACAAGGTAATATATAAATATGTCATTATGCTACCTTCATAAAGGGACAACATTGGATCAATAATCATTACATTGAAGTATCACATATTGTCTTCTAAAGGTAATGTGCTAATTCTTGAAGTTGCATCAAATATTTGGATAAAAATCAAATAACCAACACTTCTACATCCAAACAAATCTTGAAACTCAAATAACTAACACTTCTACATCCAAACGAAGCTTAAAATTCAAATAACTAGCATTTCTTCAAGTCAAACATGCCAAATCAATTGCAACTTTATTGGCATAAGATCACATAATGCTATCAATCACTGTGAAGAAGAAGAATTAGCAATGCAATGAATAAAACCAACTCAAAATAGTTAAGTTCAATATATATATATATATAGAATTCGATTTTTTCTATTTGATTATAATTTCAAACAATTATGCCCGCCATGTATTCTTATATTGCACAAAACTACCTATAGTCTTGCTTTTCTTGGCATATTTCATATGTCTTGGTTACATTCCAGAGTAAAAGCATAAAGTAACTTGATACAGTCCTGAATGCCCGAAACAACAGATCCACAATAATTTAGAGAACCTATTTAATAACACATTTGAACGTACGTAACTGTAAAATTTAATAAAATTCAATCAACCGATCTTAAAATGAGATGAAAAAATAAACCAACAATGATTGAAATGAGTTCTTCGATTTTCTCAACCATCTTCTATTATCATTCAAGTAGTATAAATAGCAACACTAGAATTAGATTTTGGGCATTGAGTTTCTCTTAAACAATTTTAAATTACACTGCAATCCACTCCACACGGATTAAGCATTAATAGCAATTTTTAATTATGAGATTTATATTGAAATTTTAGATGCCCGACTCTCTAAAATATCCCTACACAATAACAATATTTTTTTTCTCAACAAAGTAACCAAAATTGTTTACTTTAGTTTTGTCATGGTTAAGAAAATATCATTACATGCAATCAATCCTTCATCTACTACCGCCATAAAAATTTCACTCTAACAAAATATTAAAAGTTCATGCGTTTGAAAATGACTTACATCGTGTATTTGAACTTCACATCGCACCATCTACTTAGTCTGTCTTCTTTTCAAGTTTGTCGATAGCAGCTAATCTTTCAACCAATAGAGAGTGGGAATAGCAATATGCCAAGTACAAAGGATCAGAGTTCAATAATAGAAAGGTTCTCTTTCTGCATCTTGTTGAGGCAAGCTCGAAAATGTGAAACATAACCAAGTTCCCAAGCAAAAGTATCAACCTGAAACTCAAAAGCTCGACTAACCAAATTGAGTAAAAATCTCACAAGATGCTGGAAAGGTATAATTGTGTGCTGAAATATTATAAGTCCAATAAGAACAAGATGTGTGTCAAATCCAAAACTCTTAAGTAATTCTAAAAAGTTCTGAACAATGGTACAACCACCAAAATGCAACAATGTGAGGATCTAAATTACAACAATGTCAAGATCTTGGTTGATTACTCCTATCAGAGGTTTTGGAAGAGTGGCAACTTAAAGAGCAGCATGCTGCCTCCGATCAAGATAAGTCTCAAACATAGTCATAAGTATCATAAAATTGACTATTGCCTCCACGTAAAAAAAATCCGATCATACACAATAATATACTTGAACACTGATTTTTTAGCACAAAGATTTGATAATATTCCTTATTACCTTTAAGATATACTATGACATTTTTTATTACTATTTTAGAGTTTTAAGTTATCATAAATTAATTTTAGTTATAACATATTTACATAATTGAAATCTTTTGAATGGGGTAAATGCACAATTTATCTTTCCAACAAATAGATTATATAAATTACAACCTTACTTGTTCCAAAATAAATTGTACCAAAGCCTCAACTTTCAGACCCTGACACAGGACCTCGGCCAGTAGAAAAATAAAGATAATCTCAACTTTCAACCTTTCTAATTTGAACAAACCATAACATTTTTTGTTTACTAGGAAGTGTATAAACCAAATTTAGACTTCAAGCTATTGTCGTCTATTGATATAGCCAAAACAATCACCTATTGGTAAGGCAAAAACAAGCAGAGATTTTCACACTTAGAATCCTGTTAACTAAAGGAATCAAATCAAATCCAACAAATGAAATCAAATAAAAAATCTTCTGAAACAAGCTTTTACATCCAAATGAAGAAAGTGTTCGAAAAAATCTCATTGTCAAATTGCATTATCTACAACCAACCTTTGACTTTAAAAAATGGAAGAAGGTAGGAATATGTTTATACCCTTATTTAACCAACACCTAACTGAATCAAAGACATAAACTAACAAAAAGAAACTAATACCCATGTCTCGCAATGGACTCCGAACACGCAATATTCAATAATCACATGGCCGAAATCCAAAATCCACAACCGAATCGAGTTTGTTCGATCCTAGACAAGAAACTCAATCCCAAATCTGTAGCTCCTACAAATCATCATAATCGAAAATGCCTCTTCTAACACCAAAATGATTTTACCCAAACCCTAAATCAATCTAAAACCTCTCAAAATCGTCAACATACCTTGCAATTTCTTCACCCAGCATGTCGACTTGTTAGTCTTCTTCTAGCCACCGAAGTTCTCACCAAAAAAGAGTGGTTGAATGGCGGAATTCCGTGGTGGAGTGTGGCAGATTGGAGGATAGCGATTTAGGATTCTTCGAAATCGACTGTGTTAATATATAAGTTGTGGGATCGACGTTTTCATTCCTCCTCTACCCAAAATATGTTTTTGACTGAAATTAATTTATGTTTTTTTAATTTTTTCAATGAATCATTTTTATTGAAATTTTTTTCGGATTTTTACTTTTTTGTTACGGTTTGAATACTACAATAAATAGGTTTTCGATGAATTTTCGTAACTTTTGTTGATTGTAACAATAAAATATTTGTAACAAAAATAATTAAATGACCACAAATAATACTTTTTACTATGAAAAATTTTGTAACTAATAATATTATTTGTTACGAAAAATTTGTTGCGATCCTAAAATTGATACAAATAACCATTATTTTGGTAGTGCTACTTGAATCGAACTCCTGCAACCAAACAAGTAGTTAAATAAAATATTTGATTTGATAATAAAATAAAATTTAATCTGAATATCCTTTTGTATACATAAATGATTTTGAGGATTAATTCGAAGTTAAATAAAAATGCATCATACCGAAAAGAAGCTTTCGTTTTCTAGTAGCAGTTCCATGCTATTTTCTTGAGATATGAGATTGTTGCTCTTTTTAAAAAGATGAGATGATAAAGAAGTAGAAGATGAACTTTTAGAATATATGTCAAAATGATTAGGCAACCTTTGACAAATTTTCACAACTTCAATCGTTCCTTGATCACTATACAATTTTTTATATGCCCACTTTATGAATTGAAGCTTGTACCGAGGACAAAATAACTGCTATAGCCAATGTTTCGTTAAAATTGGACCAATATTTCTCAAATTTTCACCATCACTTTCACTTTCCAATCATAAGCTATGATAAATTAAAGTTACCAATGAAAATAACAAATTTGAAGTGGGATACTTCGTTCAAGAAAACATAGAAGTCAAATCATAAAATGATCCAAAAAAATTTACATAACCGTTCAATCTGTGTCCATTCAAATTCATTAGGGCAGGATGTATAAGTACAATCACTCATAGCCATATGCTTAAATGTTGCTTTGTAATAAAGCATGTTCTTCAACATAAGAAATGTAGAATTCCATCTGGTAGGTAAATCCTTTCTCGACCCTTGTTTACTATCCAAATACCAACTTTTGACACATTCAAGAAAGTTTTATTTTCTTGATTGAGATCCCCGCACAAACTTAACACTTTCCCAAACATTTTTCATTGTTATATCAACAGCCTTCAATCCATCTTGCATAATCAAGTTCAAAATATGTGCACAACATCGAACATTAAATAGATCGTCATTCAAAATAAGTGTTTTCCTACTGTTCAATTTACTAATCAAACATCTCACACAACTATCATTTGCAGAAGCATTATTCAATGTAAGTTTAGATAACTTTTCGCGAATACCCAACTCAGAAAAGATAGCATATATCTTGTCAGTCAATAATGCATTCATATGAGGAGAACTAGAATATTGCAAACATGCTCTAATGCCCTTATACTCAATGAACCGAAATAGTAAATTGTGCATAGCCATTGCAACAACAACCAATTCTCTAAATTTCTCAGGATCATATGAATTATCAGACAAAGACATAGTACCTTGATTGGATGATAACAACATTTGACCTATATCTTTTGTGTCTTTTGCAACACATATATTCATATGACGAAGTAATGCCCAGTTCCTTTACTAGAAGAAGCACTGAAGGTATTATGATAATGTTTATATCTCGCTCTTTGTTGTGTCTTATCTTCACAATGAAACTTTTCAAAATGATTCAAATATTTTGATCTACCATTTTTTCTTTTCTTTTTTTTTTTTTTTTTTTATTTTGTCTTTGATAATGCTGCGGTAGGATCATCATTTGTTGCCTCAACTTCTTTCAATTCATCGATATCTTTTCAATATCATTTCTATCATCATCATCAAGATTGACAATGGGATACCGATGAATACTTTTTCATTACCTATACGAATGAGAACATCAATTAATTAGACATAATAGATAAATAGAACACTAATATTAAATAAATTTAAAAGCGCTACTTTATTAAATTTCTTGTGTAATTAAATTTAGTGACTTAATTATTTGATTTAGAAAAAAAAAAAAAATCTCAAATCAATCGAAACACACTGCCGACCGCGACTATGTATGTATCCTATCTATATATATGTATGTATAATGTATATACTATAGAGTATGAAATTCAATTCCAATTCTCAATTTTTGAAAATAATATAATTACACAACTATGGAAAAATATTTGTGTATACAATATTTGTAATTTGTAATTTGTAATATTGATTTGCGCCGCAACTTGGTTGAGAATTTGGTGTCGAGCCGTCAATCTTACTTGCGCAATTGTGCTGCATGACTGCGTGCCTGCGAGAGTGTGTGAATGTTGCCGTCAGCCGTGAGAGTCTAAGCAATTGAGGTGAATGTTTGAATTAGAGTTTTTGTTTGTTTGAATTTGATTTTGGTATGTTTTAATATAATAATAATTATCCTAATATATAAATAGGTAAGTATGGATACAGGATATATTGTACATAGTTGTGTGTGTGTCGTGTTTATTATATATATATATATATAACATAATATATATACTTACCATTAATATTATATTATTATATAATTTCTCCGTCCGCTTTTAAGGATCACATTTATCGTTTGCGTCATTATATTTTAAATTAAAAATAATTTTATATTTGTATAATTTTTTATACAAATATCCTTCTGTTAGTATTACAAGACACTAATGGAAGTATTTTTGTAATTTTTTCTTAATTTGTATTACATTTTGATATAATAATTAATATTCAAAGATCAACACACAAAAAGTAAACGTGGCGCTTAGAGTCGGATGGATATAGTATTATATAACAATTATTATATATTAATTAAATTTTTTTCAAAACCGGGCCGGGCCAGCTTGGCCTGGTTTCAGCCAGCCCAAGCCCAGCACAGATTTTCGGTTGGGTCATGCCAGCCCGGCCCAACATTATTTCGTGCCTATTTTTTTAACCCAAGCACGGCTTTTTCGTGCCGTCCTCGGACTGGACTTTCGGGACTTGCCTATTTTTGTCACCCCTACTCAAAATTGTACCTACATACGTATCATGTTGCACTTGATCCTTCTTAGGCTTGTACTTAACTAGAAGAAACTTATACTTCGAGATCAAAGTCGATATTTTTGAATTTTTCAATCATATTTGAATGCAACCGTACATATACTTTAACAAAGAGCACTTATCCGACAAATTATAAGAAAAATTTCCGACAATATAATGACATTTTTCATTCCAAGTGTAAATGTAAAAATTGTAATTGTATATATAAGTTTTATTTATAAATATTAGTCAAGTATAAATGTAAATGTATATGTAAATAAATATCTATTCGTAAAAATTATTTATAAGTATTGTAAATACAATTATATATATATTAATATATATGTTGTAACCACCTCGAATAAATGATATGTGGAAAATTATACCTACAACATAAAACAGTTGTACCTATACAAGTTCAAAATTGTATCTTCGTAGGAATTATGTTGTACTTGGCCCTTATTAGGTTTGTCCCTATACTAGAATAAACTTGTACTTTGAGATCAAAGTCGATATTTTAAGATTTTTCCACCGTATTTGGATACAATCATACATATACTTTAACAAGGAACATATACCCTACAAATTATAAAAAAAATCTCCGGAAATACAACATCTTTTTCCATGTCATGTGCGTCTTCACAATCCAAAAACTCACTTTATGTGGGGGACACAAAATGAAACTATATTCAACATGTAATATTGGTTGGGCCCGATAATACAGTGTAACCACCTCAAAGAAATAATACGCTGAAGGTTATACCTATAATAGAAGATAATTGTACTTACGTAAGCTCAAATTTGTACATATATAGAAATCACGTTGCACTTGGCTCATCCTAATCATGTACCTGTACTAGAAGAGACATGTACTTCAAAATCAAAATTAATATTTTTGGATTTTACCACTACCTTCGGATATAAGCGTAAATATATTTCAATAAGGAACGCATACTCCGAAAATTTAAAAAAATTCTCCAACAATACAACGTCCTTTTCATGTTAAGTGCAACTTCACAATATCAAGAATCACTACCATAACTACTTTTCATATGGGACACGAGAAGAAATTATTTTAAATATTTAGTATTATTCGAACACGATAAGACATTCAAATTGCCTCGAAAAATAGTATTACAATAGAAGACAGTCACAAGCGCAAAATTGTACATATATAAGAATCAAGTTATAGTTAACCGTTCCTAATATTATTTATATAAGTACAATACACATATTAATACAGTATATATAACATATATTTTTGGTAAAATAGGAAAAAAAAAAAAAAAAAAACTTCTGTGATTTTCCGAATTCGCTGAAAATCCCTTGTGGTTTTAAAATTTCAAAAAATCTGCTTGTGGTTTCCAAAATGTTACGTACTCTCCCTCCTCTCTAAATTTGACTAACGGACGTTAAATTTTATCAAATTTGACTGTTATACCCTTATTTATATATATTTTAATTTATTTATCTCTCTTCTCTTCTTTCTTTCTTCTTCTCTTCTCCCCAAAAGCACCGATTCTTTCATCTTCTTCTTCTTCCACAAATTCTCTTCACACGCGCACTAGGTTTTTCCCTAATTTTTTTCTTCTTCTTCCTCAATTCTTTTTCACGTTGCCATAGCTCCACCCATTTCTTTTTTTTTCCAGATTTGTTTCCTTATTCTTCATCTCCAATTCTTTTTTGAAGAATGAAGAATTGGAAAATAATAAAAAAAAAAAAAAGAAAAAAAAGATGAGGGGCAGAAGGGGGCTCGGGCTCGAGCATGGAAGAAGGAAGAGAAGAAAGAAGAGAAAATGAAGAAGAAAAGAAAGAAGAAGAAGGTTGGATCAAGTTTTTTCTTCAATTTTTTTTCTTCTTTCTCT